GTTATTGCTTCCGATAAATGACACACCAAACCACTTGCTTAACTATCTTTTGGCTAATTGTGTTTCTGAGTTTACCCATGCTTCCCCCCCTTAGGGTTTTGCTCCAGCCGTGTTTCGTTTGTGTTTAGCTATTTCTTATCTTTGTGGGTTTTTAGGTTATTTATAACTTTACATTTCAAAAAGAGTGTTTTAAATTACACAGTGGCTTAATCTTAAACGTATTTTGTGGTTGGTTTCAATAGCGTATTTGAAGTTTTTAAAGTTTTTTACTGGTTAAGTTATTTTTTTCATTGCCCATTGTTTTTCAATTTAGCTTTTAGCACAAGTTTATTATTTGCTCTTACATGTATTTATGTGATCTTCTCAAAGTGTGCTGAGCATTGATTTTTGGCGGACTTGACAAAATTATTCATGATTGCTATTATTGTAGGGAAAAACTGGTGTTGCCCGTATATTGGACTCCCCGCACTTCTTGTTTTAGTAAAAAAAATGTTACCATGACCAATTGCCTAATTATGCATGATATATTTACTCCACAGAGTTTCAAGAAGGTACATCAGACTCGGATGCTGAAAGTAAAGTGGATTTTGATGAAGAAACTGCTATTAAATATTATCTCACCAGAGGTTTCGAATACCAAGAAATCCTCCGATTACTTCACAAGAATTTCAACCTCTGTATCAGCTACAACACACTTCAACAGAAGACTAAAGCAATATGGGCTTTGTAGAAGGAACCCCGATGCATTAAATCACATAAATGACGTTCGGGAACGTATACAAGAAATTATTAATGTGATATTTTTCACGCATGTACATGTGCGTTAGTGCACCCCACACCCACAAACAGAAATGCTTACGTAAAGGGATCAATGTGTGATTTTTNCATACAGGCAAATGTGTGATATTTCATGTAAATGTACGTCACTGCTAAATATAGTACAAATAGTTCGTCGGAAGTCAGAAGAAAATTGTGTGGTGTCGTTTTTTTGGCCTCTTTCGTGGCATAGTTATTAATTAGTACAAAATGATTCAAAAAATTAATAAATGGCTACAGATGGCTTACAACTATTCAGAAAGATACAGAAAATGATAAAAGGTGTATTGGAAGTCATTTCCCCCTACCATGCACAATAATGAGAGATACGTTTTTATGATACTGCTCCTGAGTCCGTGCTTTGTAATGTATCAGTGTACTCGCTAGGGTTTTACTGTTTGGTCGAGTGAACATGTACTGCACTGTCTACCGGTAACGCAGCGCACACTCGAGCTTCATTACAAAATAGGCCTACATGTACAGTACTAGACTGATTCCTTTTGCTTTATGCATTTGCTTTTGCCGTGGACCTTTTGCTTTGCCGTGAGGAATTTGCATTTGCCGTGTCCCTTTTGCTTTTGCCGCGACCCTTTTGCTTATGCCGTGAGGGATTTGCTTTTGCCGTGGCGCTTTTGCTTTTGCCGTGACCCTTTTGCTTTTGCCGTGACAGTTGTGGGCCATCGTACCTGTCAGATCCAAGAAATACACAGTAATTTCCATTGATCCGAGGCCAACACCCTCAGAAGTCATAGAGTCCAAATAATACATCACACGCACTCATAACATAATACCAAATATGACACAACAGATTACACCACCAAACAATACATGTGACTCAACAGAGAGACATGCGGCCAGGCTTTAGTACTGACTGACGGTTGTCATGGTGCGAGGTCATCTGGCGGGGGTGGGTACGGTGCATTGTTCGTACCAATCGAAATGTATTTCGCAGTGTTTTTGTTGTCAATTCAACGCCCCATGCAAGTTCCATTATGTTTGTTCCGTCAGTAATTTGAGTCAGGCAAAATAGCACAGAACATGATTGCACGGAGATCGACGTTTGATTACCAGTGTTAAAACCTGTTTGTACTCGGTAACTTTTTCTTTTTCAAGCAGCGAGTGGATCAGCCTATTCTCTGATTCCTGTGTAGTGCCTACAAAAAATATGAACGCACTAAGCACAGGTTACTGACTCTGTGCGGCCAAGCTGAAAGCGTAGGCCTCTGCACGAAAATTTGGAGTCAAGGTGACATTGTACTTACAAAACATTTCCCGTCCTGACGAAACACATTAACATTTAGGTAGGAACTACCTAGATGGCTTAAGCTTGCCAGTAGCCTCTCTTTCAATTAAGGTGACGTAATTAAGGGAGAGGAGGCACTAGGGGCACATTACCCGGGCAAATGTGTCCCCCCCGCCCTCTCCGCATTTCAAATCTTGCCTTAATAAGTACAACCCGCAAATTAGAGAGACAAATCAGACAAATCATGCATGCATGGTCTTTCTTCACGAAAGGGGGCCATCGGGAATTTCCAGCTGTATAGCATAGCAATTCTTCAATACAAGCGCATTTCATTTGCTTTTGCAGTTACGCCGCTTGTTTTAATAAACCGACCATGGGAAGGATTCTTCTGCAATTGAATTCTAGATTGTATGTTCCAGGCGTGAATCCGGGGGAGGGGGGTTTGAACCCCCTGCTCTGAGCCCCCACCCGGCAAACAATGGGAAAAATGAATAAAATAAGTAACAAACGAAAGTGCACCAATACCATTGTAGCCAATGTATGCCATGTATAATGTTTCATTTGTCTGCAAAAATGAGACATTAAAAAAGTCTGGCCTGAACCCTCCCACTTGGAAAGATTTTTGGATCTGCCCCTGAGTTCGTTCTAATCGTTTGGTGTTATTGTGAGAATCGGCCGGGGATGCACGACTGTCGGAAGTAATTCGGAGCCAAGGTTACCAGATGAGATCAACACAATAATCCGTAAGATGCACTCCACAATTGTGCCAGATTGAACGAAAAAAAAATCTGTCAAATCACCTGAAATAACACGACATACATCATAAATGCTTAATCCCATATGCAGGTGATATAAAATAGCCTAAATACGAAATACGTAATCAAGTTTTTTTCACAAATATAAAAATAGCCTGATCATTTTGGTAATAAATTCTATACTGCGACGTCAGAAAGCGCATAGACTGGCCAGCCTGTCCAGTTGTGCAAGGGCTGCCAGCTGGAAACCATTTGTTAAAAAAACCCATTTTCTTTGTTTTAAAAAAGCAAAACAATCTGCTATTTTTTCTACTGGAATTACCACTTCTGCTAGAAATCTGTTGAAAATCGATTCTGCTCATTTTTCTGTCAAACTCGTTAATTTTTACGATAAACTCTATCATGTTTAGCCGAAATTTGAATAAAAGAATCTTGCCCCAAACTGTTTCTTCCGTTGTGTGCATGATTTTGGTGTTCTCATTGTTTTTTTCCTCTCACCTCTAAAAAGTGTGTGGTAGATTCAATAGCCCACCCCCCTGTTCAAAAAAGGGGGGGGGGACACACCTATCCACCCGGGATTGACGCCCATGCCTTTCGTGTATTGTTTCAAAGGCAAAAAGGCGCCTAAAGCGCCTATTAGTACCCCCCCCGAAAAACGTGACTTAACCCCAACCTAGGACTTAGGGTGGTCAGCGAGGGGTAGAGAAATAATAATGAGACGTGCATCCAGAAGTTGTCAGCACTTGGAATCTTGTAAAAATAGACGCATGCATGAATGCATGTCACTTTTAAAGTACAATAATTTTACTTGAGAGGTTGAGAGTTTGTATGTTTCTGCTTGTATAATAGGTGGTAAAGCTATTTAAGTGTGAAGTGTATTTAAAACTACACTTCAAAATGAAATTGTGCGTCCCTTTTCCAATGTGAAAGGAGTTAACAAGAATGTTTATTGATACTTATGCCTGTTTGGCATATTATAGATTCGGCTAAAAATAAATTATTTTGCCTACAATGGACTCTTATTTCAAGAACACAAACAGCCTATTATGCATTGTCACACACACTTATGTGAAAATAGGCTACCGGGCGAGAACGACTTGTGGTTTTGATAAGTGTTGTCTTTTCCTTTCAGTGCCCGGACAAAAATAGACCCGGGTCTGATTGTGGTTTTGCAGTCACATGAAGTGGGCGATTGTTCCAGAGCTAACTCTCCCAGTAAACAAGTTTGCTTTTTGTCTTGTGAGAAAAGAAACCTGGTTGACAGCCACATGTTTTGAAGTAAGACGTAATTGTTTGGTTTGAGCCGCGTAAATCAGCAATCGCCTTTTCCCAGGACAATGTTCAATTGCTGCCTAGAAACAGTGGCTCCGCATAATGTCCGCGCAATGTACATGTACATATGAGGTTGAGGTATGCTGTGAATTGAAAGCACAAGTGTTGTTGGAATCATGAGTAATTGTGTTGAAATATTTGAGGGACTGCGGATGACATTTTTTAACACTTCAAACTATTCAGTGAAAATGAAATCATGCAATTCCGTGGGAAATTTATGTAGGGATTACATATAATTTTTTGATGGAAAATGAAAATTACAACATAAGAATAACAGTACCACTTCCGTAATTTGTTATGGAAAAGTTCGAGAAACTACAACTAAATTAATCACAAAAGGCGTTTAACCGGCTACCTGTGTCCTAATCTCACATATTAAGATAATAATAATTCTCGAAGGCAATTACGAGGTAACTGTTTCGAAACTTTATTTAAGTATTGGGTGAAAATGGACTACCAAGAACGTGGTGCTATCAAGTATACATTTTCGAAAAATTAAAATATTTCTTGTAGCTTCCTTTTTACAAGAGTTTTTTCCCAAAACGTCGTTTGCTTGAGACATATATTCTCCAGTTCGTTCTCTTGAGCTCTATATTGAGAAAAATTGTTTCTGTTTTGGGAACAAGTCGTTTTAACGGGATATTGTCTCCCTTTTATGAGTCGTTTTTTCGAGTTCATTTTGTAGTAAACAATGCGTACCACGGTACCACGTGCTATCTCCTAAAAATAAAGTTGAAGAAAAAAAATACACTTCATAAAAGCAAACTTTGAAAAAAATATAAATAACTTTTAAAAAATATGGCACTGCTGGGCTTTCCCCTTTGCAAGTCAGGCAGATGCCGTCATGACGAATAAGAGATTGAGGCTTTTTGCCCGTAAAATGTAATCGTTAATTTTATCGAATATGGCATAAAAATCTATCTGGCAGAGCCCCAAATTCGTTGGAATATTCTTTTCAGTTTAGATGTCCCCTTTCCCGTGGACTATAACATTGCAAGTAGTATTTTCTTGAGCGAGAGATAACTGAGCATTTTTTATTTTCTCTGTAGAGTTTTAAACAAACATGTGAGGCAAGAGAAGTCTTTTAATCTTTCTTGAAGCTCTTTGATAGAAGACTTAAAAATTCTTACCAGATGTAGTTTGCTCAGCATGAAAAATTCCGAGGATCACTCCATGGAAATGTGAAGAGCTAGTGTTTGGCTTTATAGCCACTGCATGAGATGAATCGAAAAACAAAAACAAAAACAAACAATCAAAAACACACAAAAACAGTGTTCGTAGGTAACAGGAGGACAGCAGCATATTTTCCTGAAGGATAGTCCATTTTTTATCACCGTGGATAGAATCCTTGTCTCCCCGACGAAGGTGTTTATATTGTTATATATGGCACTTGCGAATCGTCAACAGCATTGCATCATGTTCATGAAGGGAAATCCGCCAATGAAACCACGACTCACCCCCTTGCTCGATACGCCTCTGGTTTCCGCCTATGTACCGTATTTAGGTCTTGAAAAAAAGTAGAGCTAAAGGTGGTGTGCCGACGGGACTTTTGAATAGGAAAAACATTTTAGAATTTAGAACTTGTTGTTATTTTTGTTTATATACGCCTTTAAAGGTCATTTTCAATTAATGGCTTTTGTAAAATATTGAAACATAAAAACTGCGTGACCCGAAGGACAATGTCCTGCCGAAAATTGACTTTTCATTTCTTAAAAACATTGGTAATATATACATGATGATAATACACTCGTACGCAGGTGGAATTATTTAATGGTACTTTTGAGGTAAAAACCTGACAAATAAACAAGAGAGCAAAAATACCTTTAGCAGCTTACAATCAAGAAAACTTAAAGGAATGATCAGCATTTACAGAACATTTTAGTCCAATCAACCTTTACTGACAAGAACAGTATCAGTCAACAGTCAACAGCAAGACTAAATGTAAAACCAATCAACTGTAGGTAGGTTTAATCTTTGCAACGTTATTGGCCACTCTCATTGTTTTTGCCTTTGATTTGTATGCAGAAATATGACCGTTTAGGTCCAAGTTGGTTTAAAATTTTGCCTCCAATTCGTTCAAAACGGACATTTTGTCTCGTTGATTTTAAATAGGGTTGTATTTTCATTTAGAATTTAGTAGTACGTGTATGATCATCGGCAGCTGGTGTTCTGATAGTTACGTTGGATTTTTAACACTGAATTAATCTTTTGATTCTGTACCGACGGCCAACCATAGCTTTAGCAGCCACTTGTAGGAAAAACACGACTCTCGGTGACGTGAGCAGACTCTTTACATTCTCGCTCTCACGTAGGCTAAGTATATGCAGTGAAAATTAAACAAACTTGTGTGAACAAAGAAACCTGTGAATGATGATGCTTGAAGTTAAAGGTCGCTAATGATTTTTTAAACTCATGCAACTCTGGGTGCCGACTTTCCCACAATATTATCTGAAGAACACAAAGATATAATTCTGGTACATGTATGAGCATTTTCTCCCAAAAGTTACAGACCGTGATAGGGAAGGCCGCGTGAGAGTTCCTGAAGCTGGCCACGTGACCTTTAATACCTTCTTGCTCCATAAGTCTGTAGAATTTCTGTCATTGTCAACATCCAATTAGAGTCCCGAACTGTCAAATATTTTAGGTACCATCTTGGGAAATGGTGACACAAGTCGACCTGATAATGCAGTTCAGTCATTTCTTGTGAGAGGAGCGGCTACGTGGAGGGAATTTTTTTTCGTAAACAGATTCGCGGATTAGCGTCAAAAGCGGGCGCTGTTACACGCGCGTGTACTCTAAGCGTAACTACGAGTGTTTTCACCAATGGTTTTTCACCGCCGTAACCATCAAACATGGCAGGATTTGAAAGTTATGGCTGTGGCTGGAAACAAACAGTCACTGGTTAACCTCTGTAGCCACTTCCTGTAAGCATGTGTATATATATTACTCTTGGCAGAAGTTATTTGAGTCGGACCATGATCGTTGCAATGTTGTCACTGCACCAACATTGGCTTGTGAAAGTTCCCGTTGTTTCAAACAAAAAATACACCAGGCGATATCATTTAGCTGTCCAGAAAGTGAGAGGCCTATACTTTGAGAAAGATTGTGCTACCATCGCAACGTTGGGGCCCCTTAACTTCAGATTTTTGCATTCTAGGTCATGTCAGTTGTTTTTGTTTTTGTTTGTTTCCGAAAGAAATGATTAAATTTTTGTACCTTTCTGTAATGCTAGGTCTTACTGTTTTCGGGCTACATTGACTTTTGTAATTGTAAGAATTTGTTTGAAAAATCAGTGTTGGAGCAAAGGCTTTGGCCCTCAACCGGGCCTAACACGAAACGTGTCATAACACGACGAATTGCATGAATCCTAATCATCGCTAAGCAGACAAGCATTCAGTTCCAGCCTACCATTATTTATTTAAGTGATCTTTAAAGTCCAGTGGTGAGTGACAAGTACAATATATGACTTGCTCACGGATCAGCCCATGTAGAAAGTGACCCTTAATTAATTTGACTTTCTAATTAGCATAATATCAGTTCCTGTGGGCAGTATACTCAGAGTACTATCAACAGGCTACAGAACAGTTCAGATGATGTTCCCCGCCGGTACCGTACCCCGGTATAATGCAAAACCCTGGCCATGTAGAAAATTATTATACCTTTTTGGGAGGAGGGATGTATTAGACCTCTCATGGTAACAAAATGAGATGCTGTAAACATGACAAATGAAACTTTACAAATCTAAGGTATATTTCCTCGACCATGCATGGTAAAACATGATTAAATTAGATAATACACTTTGCAGGCAGGTGGCACCAAGTTAGGTTTGCATAACAGAAAAAATCGAACAAATCTACCTGGAAAATTCAAGCCGATTGGACTTGCATGGCATTAATCCTCAAAGCTTTTGCACCTCAAACCTTCAGGCTAAGGCCACAGTTCCACAAATCGAGCATTAAGGCAGTATTTATAGGTCAATTAAGATTCAGCATCGATGCACCACATCACTGGTGAAAATCATAGTCAACATCTTTTGTAATTCCTCAAGCTAGGTTTACACTTTGTTCCCAGCAGCTACAATTATCACGTTTCTAGCCACTGTGGACAAAATGGGATGGACGTGAGACAACGCAGGGGAACGGGATGGGCAAACGTGACAGTTCGTGATTGCCGTGGATGCTGGGCCAGATTTTTGAACTGCCAAAAATTTTGCCACGTCAGTCACGGTGCAGATGAGAAACCTAGTAGGCAGTAGTAACATGGGGTGAACGCAACAAAACGTGACAGTACGTATGTGACAGGCTGTAACAAAACTTGGAGACGGTCCGTAGTGGGACGGGAAGCATGTGCACTCCCCGGAATCTCACGGTCCTTTCAAGTTTTGTCACATTCTGCCACGTTTTGTCACTGTTCTCTTGGCAAGCTAGGATGTACGATAGCCGTTTCGTCGCGTTCAATCACGGAGCGTCCACACTGATTTGTGGCGGTTTACAGGCCTGGTGCCATGCAGCGGTCTGGGAGGGAGTATAGAAACCAGGCCAAGCAGGGCAACTTCATGCAACATGATAAAAAACTACTTTCGAGAAATCAACTGAAGGCACTTCAGCAGCCCTCAGGCTATCACCTTCAGAAATGTACGGACTTTACAATGGCTTATTAAGCAATCCGAACATGATTTGTATGGAGAGTACAACAGACAATAAGAAAACTTAGCAGGACTTAACAAAACTTGACTACGGAGAAAAAAATGCCAAAATCCCACCGCGCACTACGTTTCGGGCAAACGTGATTGCCGTGGCCGCTGGTGATATAAGCCTAGTGTAAACCTAGCTCCATTACCTCAAAACATATTTTGTCCACTGTCACTGTCACAAACCTCATAACCGGCTCTCAATGACTTTAGTGTATATCACTGTAATATTGACCATCATGCGATCAACATCCCTTGCAGTGAATTCAATAAACTATCATCCAATTTGAAGGGCGCCCTCTTCATTATAATTTGAAGACATAAAAGTGTCACGGGCTGTTAATTTTGTGCCAGAAATGTCGGTGGAAATCAAACAGTTCGCCACTGACAGCGTTTGAACAGGTGGCCCTGGTGTCGCCTCAAAGGAAAACAAGTACAGACTTTTCAGTGAGTTACGAGGGTGTTGTTTGTGATTGACGATCTGGGCAGGGGCTGTTTACTCTACCCATTAGGCCCGTATTAACCTGTGATTATCTCAGGTGTGCGTGTTTGGGTTTTAACACGCCCCTGCTAATGGACGTTGACACCTGTCTTCTGGACGGGGGGAAATTTTCGTTTGCCGGCAGGCTTTAACCCCTATCTCTGGTGCTTCGGGCATCCTCCCCGGAGTCATGTTTCTGCTTACTAATGCACTTGTCAATCGTCGAATCAGTACGCCCCATCTCCTCCCCTCCCCCATGTCAGAGAGATGTTGCCTGTCCTTGGCTGAAACCCTGTTCTTTGCCAAAATGCACCCCCCTTGATTGTGGAGCAAATGTTATCGACACCCCTCCATCGACCTTCACTTAACGAAGACTTGCCTGGAGAGAACGATTGGCTGGGAGAACATAGTGATACATACTTTGCGTTAATTTCAATAATCCGTTCGAACATGGATAGACGGACTGATACAGGACTTGACGATTACTGATGAATACTACTACATGGGGACTATGTAAAATTGATTGAGGAATGGGGAGGAGTGGAATTCCAGTCTACTTGTCGCCATTCACATTAAAAGATACATGGGAACTTAGGTTTTTTTAAAATGAATTTTATGGACGAAAAAAAATGCCTCTTGGTTATTGTCATTTGTCAAGTGGGTAACGCTAGCGCCATGTGCAAAAATTTGATGGGTGTATTCAAGAAGTAGAGTGAGCACTGCAGGGCCTGACGTTGTGAAGTAATCCCAACATTGCCGGAACGTCACGGTGGTGAATGACAATACCGCAAGAGTCAGGCTGCTAATCTGCTCTGTGCAGTTGTCTGAGATCTTTCGTTGCCAGTCACGCTTACAAAATTAGTATTAGTGCTGCAGTCAATTTAACTACTGAGGTGGGAAAACAATTCGTCACAGGGTTATCCGTTAAGCGCTGAAAAGATCGCGTTATTTAGCAACAAACGTGATTTGTACATACATGCCACCCTGACAAAGTCTACAGTGACTTCAGTTCAGGAAGGCATATGGTCTGCGGAAATGAGCCGGAGTCACAAATGACAGGGTAATTTTCATTTAGCCCATTACTTTAATCAGACTATGACCTGTTATGGTCACCTAGTCTTAGGCCAAAAAGTCTCCGCGTTAGAGCT